GGGGAAGCAAGAGAGAGAAATATTGATATGAGAGAGACACATTGACTGGTTGCCACCCACACAACCCCAATCGGGGCCAGGGACAAACTACAACTGAGGGACGTGCCCTTACCGGAATCTGAACCTGGGACTCTGGTCCACAGGCCAGTGGTCTAACCGCTAAGCCAAACTGGCCAGTGCTACAGAAATATGGTCTTTTGTTATTTCTTAGCAGCATCTAATTCTGAAAGGGTTACAAGGTGTGACCTGCAAAGTTAAACAAAAAGATCAGAGACTTACTGGGAATTGGATGAACTCCCTGAAACACCATTTCAGTTTCTAGAAACATGCAGAATTGTGGGCCTTGAGTATCAAGCTCCACAGCCCAACATCTGTGGATCAGTATGGGTCAGAGTGTTTGTCAAGTGTAATCAAAGAAGCAGGAGAAGTTTTGGGTTTGTTTAGACTGGTGATTTGTGTGTACTTCACATAGGTTCTTGATGCAGGATGGAGGCACTATTTTTTTTTATTTATTTTTTTATCCTCACCTGAGGACATTTTTCCATTTTTTTTTAGGTAGAGTGGGAGGGAGAGAGAAGAACAGAGAGAGGGAGAGAGAAACATCGATGTGAAAGGAACACATCGAGTGGCTGCCACCCGCATGACTGACCAGAGCCGAGGACAAACTGCAACCGAGATATGCCCTTAGCGGGAACTGAACCCGGGTCTCTCAGAACCGCAGGCCGACGCTCTAACTGCTGAGCCAAACCGGCCAGGGCGGATAGAGGCACTATTAGTGAAAAACAACAAATCTGAAATTTAGTTCATCTCATAGTTTAGAAGAGGACTTAGCCGACACATCAAAGTTGAGCTGCCAGATGCAAACCAGTGTTGGGTTTTTGGGAAAAAAAGCCTCTCTCAACTTAAGTTTGTGATCTTCCACATTATTATTATACTTTGAAATTAGCCCAGTCACTGCTACCCTACTGTTAATTGTCTTTGTATACATTATATCTTATATAGTCTGGGCCACGTAACAATGTTTCAGTCAACAATGTTCCTATAAGATTATAATCTCATAGTCTTCAATACCATATTTTTACTGTACCTTTTCTATATTTAGATATGTTTAGGTACTTACCATTGTGTTACATTTGCCTACAGTATTCAGTATAGTCTGTAACAGCCCAGGAGCAGTAGGCTATACCAAATGGCCTAGGTGTGTATTGTGAAAGTCATTAATATGTGAATACATATTCTTTATTGTTGCTTACTTGAAGTTGACTAAGGTTATATCTGTTTGGGGATATAAATATTCTGTGTTGCCAGTTAAAGCGGGTTCATATGTTTTGAAAAATCAATTGAGTTGAGGGAATAGGGTTATAAAAAATTAAGGTACCTAATTAAAATAGATATTTGAATGTACTATTTATCTCAGCATACTGAGGGTCTGTGGTTCAGAGCTAGAATCTTCCTTAGAAAACAGTGATCGAGTGATTCAATCTGTTTTGAGTATATCAATCACTCAATGGGTGATTGAGCTTCAATGCTCTATATTACGGAGCAGACATAATTATTCTTTAAAAAGATAATAAAGAATCTTCTTATGAGGTTACAAAACTATTTCAATGAGATAGCAGCCAAGTAGAATTTATTAATAATATCCATCTGTTTTCTGGGACTAATATTAAACAGTACAGCTTAGTTTCAGAAATTACTGCTTTCTACAAATGGAAGTACAGATAATGTGGTTACTGAAGCATTTTTTTTTTATCCTCACCAGAGGACGTTTTTCCATTTTTTTTGTTCAGATAGAGTGGGAGGGAGAGAGAGAGAGAGAGAAACATTGACGTGAAAGGGACACATCGAGTGGCTGCCACCCACATGACCCAGCCAGGGCTGGGGACACTGCAACCGAGGTACATGCCCTTAGCAGGAACTGAGCCCAGGTCTCTCTGGACCACAGGCCGACGCTCTAACTGCTGAGCCAAACCGGTCAGGGCGAAGCTTTTTTTTTTTTTTAGGTTATAGATTATTGAACAATATAGCTTAAGACTGCTCTTGAGTATTAGCTCCAGAAAACTAGCCGTATAGGAAATAAATTGGCGTAATGATTAGATGTTATTTCAATAAACTGATGAGTTTGTGATTTTGGAGGAGTAGAGGATATCTTTTGCAAAACAGTAGGTTGCATTCTGGTTCCATTCAGCTGAAACATTTCCTGTAGGATTATAAAGGGATAGGAACATAAAATTAATCTCAAACTAGTATTAACAAATTATTTTTCTCCTTGCCTTATAAATTCATAGATTTATCTGCATTAGTTGTGAACCTTTCTATTTGTGCTACCTTTTAGGATTACAAAACCACTTTCTAAATTCATGGAATCCAATCTTTCATACTCGGTTGAACAGTTTTTTTCCCGAACTTTTTAACAATTCTGTTGTCTGTGCTGAAATCTTTCTTGAATCGGTTCATCAAAGGAAAATTTTAATTCCCTAAACTGTTGAGAGGCAAATCTAACTGTAAAGATGGTTTTTTTCTTTCTTGGAGGTATCATCCCACTTCATATCTAACTGACCTTATACTGTGTTCCTTTTCTTCTAGTCTTCTGTCCCTGGGCATATCCAGGGAGATGGTTTCCAATATAATATGATGGTTTCTGTACTCGGGGGAAAATTAAATGACCTTCTAATATAGTTCTCTCTCATTCACGTTTCCCAGAACCCAGTGATGTTAGCCATGGTAGGTGTCACCTGTTTGGATCTGGTCATTTGTATATTTTATTTGAGGGTATACTTTTAGTAGGGGCTTCTGCAGTTCTAGAAAAATTTAAACGGTTAATGGATTTTTGGTTTTTGGACCATCATCTTGCCATAAATACTTTAGCTAGGAGGTTAAATGCATTCTGTTCTTTAGTACCTTTTGTAGACCTGTATTTGTCTTGATTAAAAATGGGCTTACTGTAACTTTTTTTAAATTTTTTTATGGTAAGCCAGTTCTGGTATGCAGTAATTCTTTTATTCTTTCATTGAATCAAGACACTGTTCCTTCTGCTAACAGTGAGTTTTTTGCTTCTTAGTGGCGGCCTTGTTTTGTTTTTTTGTTGAGGAAGAGGTGGCCATGGCTCTGGCTCATACCTGTCTCTGTACTTAAGTGTTTGCTCAGAGACCTTTGATTCCATACAGCCATCATGGATTTTTAATGTTTGATTGAACTCTACCTTCAGAATTTATTTAGTAAGTCTATTTCTCCAAGGATACCGTATTCAAGGCATGTGGTGGTGGTTTAGTTTTACATTTCTTTTAACATCTCACCCAACATGGGAATCACGATAGGAAGAATAGCTTCACATGGATCTCCCAATTATTTTGATGTTAATAGCACATTCTACAATGGCCTAATGCCCTGGAAAACTTCCAGAATGAACAGCCTGATAAAGATACATTTATGGCACCATCTATCAGAGATGATATGTCTTTATTGGTTTTTTTGGTATGTGCCCCTAGCGGGAACCAAACCTGGGACTCTCTGGTCCGCAGGCTGACACTCCAACCGCTGAGCCAAACTGGCCAGGGCAGAGATGATATGTCTTTAGAGATAAAAGCTTATTGCTGGGTAACTTTATGTTTGAGTTTAATTTTATCTGTCGCTTAGTGTATACTTTGTCACATGACATGATGCTAAAGTTTGTCCTCATTAGTTTGACATTAGGTAGAGTTTAGTGCCATCTCTTAGCTTAGGGATTTAAGTGTGATTAATTTTAGTATTAATCTCAAGGATTCCTAGTTTATATGAAATATACTACTGGAGAAGAGATATTTTAGGGGACTTACTCATATTCTAAAGTTTGTTCTACATTCACATTTCACATTTCCACAGTAATTTAAGAAACAGTTTCATGTGACACTTAGAGGCTCTAAACTACTTGTTTTCTTAAAGATTTGATATTTATTAAAGGATTCTAATGATTTAGATATGATATATTTTTTTTAATCTAATCTATTTCAACAACTCCAATAGTTGCCACTAGTCTAGCTTCTTTCTGAAGAATAACTAGTCCTCAAAATAAATCCTTCATATACATTTTGAGAAAAAAATTTTGTAAAATAAGTCATGAACCCAGAAGATAGTACTGCATGTTACAGAAATATAATGTGTTTTACTGACCAGTTTAGTTCAGCCATTAGAGCATCAGCCAGAGGACTGAAGGGTCACATGTTTGATTCCTGTACCTGGGTACAGGGCCTGTACCTGGGTTGCAAGTTCAATCTCCAGCTCCAGTCTGGGTCATGTGGGAGACAACCAATCAATGTGTGTCTCTCATATCGATGTCTCTCTCTCTCCCTTCCTCCCTCCCTTTCATCGTATCTAAAAATCAATGGAAAAATATCCTCAGGTGAGGATTAACAAACAAACAAACAAAAAGAATGTATTGAGGCTACCAGAAGGCATTACTAAATAATTCTGTGGGTTTTTTTAATGACCTCCTTTTCATATGTATCTATGCTTGCTGAAAAACATTTTCTAAAGAGAAATTTATAACATTATTTGATTGATTTGAAGATTGTACCTCATTGGTGAAGTTATTTCTTCAGTAGACTGAAGACATGTCTTGTTTGTTCTTTGTTAAATATCATGACAGTATTGCTCAGGAGTGTATTTCCTATATCATTACCATTTAAATTGCTGCCCATAAAAGAATTCTCTTAAGACTGATAAATCCTGAATATGTGCTAACATATATTAATTTATTATTTTAACTAGAACTAACATACTAATAGTACATCCTTTTAAGATTTGTGTGAACTACCATTTCCTTAAAAAGATAGGACTTGTTTGTCTCACTATGTTATTGAACACAAATTTGACTTTTTATTTGCAGGGATTAGGGGAAGCAAGTCCGACATGTAAACCATATTGTTCTTGCTACTTGAAATTATTTTTATGTTAGAATAATTTACAGATGTTACTAATATGTACCTGACTTTAATTATATATTTTTTCTCCTTTTCTTCAAGATGATACTTGTTGATGCCACTGATATCATCCTCCTAGCAGAAGATAGTCCTACTGAGAAAATGAGCACTTTGATCATTCAGTCTTTGAACTTTAACCTTTGACTGGAAGTGACCTATAGGCAATGAAGACTACTTCCTTTTACTGCATTTTTACTCGTGTGCATTCTGGGCGCATGTTGATCGCTGGTTCAGTCCAGGCTACTGACATGCTTTTATTAGTCATACAGTATTAATGCAGGTGTCAGGAAATGTCAAATATAATTCCATTTTTTATTTTTATTTTTTTAAGCTTTTGGAAAAGTTCCAGGTCCTCATGTATTGTGCAATAACAATGACTTCCTTGACGGTTTTGGGACGTTCATTGCCGGCAATGGACGTCATAACAGGAAAAATTTTCATTAACCCCTGCCACCCAGTGATTAATGCATGATAGGGCCTATGAAATGAACTTAACGGTTCTAGTGGGATTATAAATAAAGTGAGGGATCCAGCATTACTTTGAAAGTCACCCCAACTTGTTTCTATTTGGATTCTATGCACTGTGATCCTAAGGTTAACAGCATGAAGTAACATGCATCTTCAAAGGACTGTAATGAAAGATCATTGCGTATTTATTGAATTGTTTATATCTGCTGTCAAATTGTTTTGACATGGAAGGTTTTCAAGTAACATTGGCAGAGAGGTACAATATGTTATCCCTATGGTGAAAATAAATTCATTTGTTGTATATAGTTCCTTAATCTCTGAAGCAAAGGTATGAGTAATATAGGGTATGAATGGTTTAATCAAGGCTTTATTTTGGAAGAAAAATGGCAGTGATGATGAAACTGCTGCAGTCCATAATTTGGGCTTGTTTGTACATTAATGATTTTTCCAAGTAGAGTACACTCTGTTTCTTCCTGCTAGCCATCAGCATGAGCCCTACTGCCTAAACACTATTTCATTTATTTATGTTTGAAAAACCCAAAAACATTTTTGTTTGCAATTTTGTTTTTTTTTGTTATGTTTTAAGTCAAGTTTGAATGTTACAATACTTTAATTGAAAAACTTTTGTCAAGTTTTTTCTTGTAAATTTTCTTTACTTGTAAGTATCATCTTGTCCTTCAATCCTGTACCCTAAAATGAGAAATACATTTTTGACAGAGGCTCAATGTTTTAACAAAAGAGTGTGGACATTTTTATTTTAAAATTTAGGGAGAACACTATAGAATGGTATGTTTATTTGTCTCATACAACTATACGGTTATTCCTGGAGAGATTTGTTTTCCAGTTTAAAAGACTGCTTATAGCTAGATAAAGTTTTTCTATAGAAAAAAATTGCTGAAAGGTCCAATTCTCAGTACCATATAAGTTAACGATACTGCAACTAGGTTCTCTTTTTAAAAAGTGATTAATGTATTTTATAAATTACCTTTTCACATATGCAAAATCTGTTTCTACTACAATGTTATTTTTACTAAAGCATATTGTTGCACTCTTTTGACATATCCTGCAGTGAATTTATGAATCAATTTGGGCTTCAAAATAAAAGCCAGTTGGCTGAAAGGCTTGAAATACCCCAGCAAAACCGTCCAATCAGTAATTGGCAAAGAATATTTTAAAATTTGTTTTTAATCTCTGTATAGACAACATTTTGTAGCTTTGTACATGTTAATTAAGGGCATATAATTTTACACTCTAAAGTATAATTGCCGAACTCAGGGGTGGGTAGACTTCAAAAATATGTCTGCTTTAGAAATAAATAACTTGAAAAAATATTAAAACTATAGCCAGCCACCAAATTGTGGACACTGTTTATACTGCTAGTTAGCAACTACCACTTTTTAAAATTAAAAACATTTTTGTTCTATCTTGACTAGGCATAACATATGTTTTCACAGTAGTCTCTATCAATCTTATTAGATGGCCTATTTAACCAAGACAGAAAATGTTTTTTGGAATGCTTTGAACTATTCTTAGTTTTTAACTGCTTTTTAATATGAAAAGTGCGGCTGTAAATTATGTATTTTTCATATTTTACATAACTGCTCTAAACTGATTGACTTGATCATTTTCTGGGGTAAGGGTGGGGGAATTTCTCTTCATTTTGCTGGTCCTCTTACTAAAATCCTTTTATAAAAAAATGACCTGTGACATTTATTCACCAAAGGAATCAATATACCAGGTCAAAGATTAACAGTGCTGTACTATAGATTAATAGGTCATATATAGCCTCAGTTAAAATTTTAAAATATGAATAACAGTATTTTAACATACCTCTCTCTCTCTCTCTCTCTCTACATGGAGAATACAAATTAAAATGAAGTAAAGGAAAACCAAATAATTTCAGTACATTTTATGGTTTAAAGAGAAAAAATTAAGATGAAAAATCCTAAAATATAGAAACACCAACCATTCAAAATTTGCAATCAGATAACACTTTCTTCCTTGAACTTAGGAATCATTGAAAAGTCCTTTGCACTTAGACTTAACGAGTTAATTTTAAATGTAAGTTACATTATTGAGAGACATAAGATGTTTACCTGAGTCATTGCTCTGTAGAGCGCAATTAATGGCTTTGTTATAATAAAATGAATATTTCTCTCTGATATGTTGTTGAAGGACAACCAGGATGCCAAGAAAATGTACATAGGAACATGTGACTTCCCTCTGTGGGGCACTGTCTGCTGCGGAGGCCTACAGAATCCTACCTTCATGCTCAGACAATGTGTGCTTGCTTCTTTTATTTATTTATTTATTTATTTTAAGGCCATTCTTCTGGTTTGCCAAATTCTGTTAAGACAGTGATACATTCAATTCCTTCTTTTGCATGCTTAGATCAGGAACTTGGTGCCCTTTCCAAACAAAAAACTATTATGTCAAGTAGGTGTTAATGCTGTAGAATTTAAAGAGAGAAATGGTTTTCAGTTTTTTAAGATAAATTTTTAAACAAATTTTATGGATGTTCTCTTAAGGAATTTGATATTCACCTCTAAAGGACTTTCCTTGTGTAAATTCTTCCTTTTAGCTAGCAGGGAAATAAAGCTTTTTTTTTTTCCATCCCCAGGGGAAAATGCTAAAAATAGCATTTTCTATATAGTTCACCTGGAGAAAGATCTTAATTCTTATTGTTTTGACTAGGTATACAAATATTTGGTATAAAGTAACTAGAATAGTTTATTACTTTTTCCCTTCTGAAATTTTAAATATATGCAATATTATGTATCATTAGATTCCTGTGGTGGATAATAATTTTTTCAGATTCTGAAACAGGTATCTAGTGGCTGCTTGATTTTTCCCAGGTTGCATCAGAGATGAATTGACAAATAATGGAAATGAGTAGTGATGTGAAAATGGTATGTAACCACATATTACTTGTTTCTGCTAATCAAGTCTTATTTTTTAAAAAGCCTATTGTTTTTGAGAATTGAGATATTTAAAACTTGTTAAAGCTTCTTCCTAAAAATAGAAGAGAAGAGGAGGTACTGTGTGTTAACTTTTTTTTAAATAAAGAATTGAGTGTCACTAGTTCTTAAGGCTTTATGGTTACTGCTGCTTATATTTCTCGATCTCACTTTAATTTAGTTTTTTATACATATTATAGCCGAGTGTTTTAGATTTATAATTGTGTATATAAGTTGGTTTTTATGAAGAACTCAGGCTTAACCATATGTCTCTCTTAGGATTCATTATTATCAGAATCAGCCGCTCTGATGTTCTGTGTTGGGCTAATACCTTTGCATGAGTAAAATTTGTGAAGAGGCATGTTTCATGTTCACCAACTGGCACTGGTCCTCTTCATGGTCAGTTAATTTTTTTTTTTTTTATTCCTCTTTTATTTATTCCTTCCTGTCTCCTCACAGATGTATAGTGTGTTGATCTTCAGCAGTTTCTCTCTGCCTTCTATTCCTCCCTCCTTCCCTCCCTCCCTTCCTTTCTTCCTTCTCTCCTTTTCTCCTTTCCTTTAAATCTCCTTTCCTTTGCATTACATGTTTTGGTAAAGGTGTATTTCCCTTTAAGATTCTAAGTCACTTTGAGGTTTGGAACTCTTTTTTTTTTTTTTTAATAATAATTTTGCTTTCTTAGCATAAACCTTATTCATTTATCATTAGAAGCCCATAGAATGAATTTAAACATGCCCTTCAAGCTAGATCTTCCCCCTTAAGTTGAAGTTCTGATTCTATGGTACTGGTTGTGATTTTAATTCTGAAATGTTAGTATTTGAACATATATTTGGGGATGAATATTCAGAATGTTTACAAGAATATATTTTTTATGAAAAATATTTTGTTGATAAAAATGTAGCATCCGAAGTCATCTTGGATGTGTGGAAGAATGCCGTAACAGAAGCTGGCATGTCTAAGACACCTAAAGAAATTCAGTTTTGCAAGTTGAGTGCAGTGAGTGGGCAAAGGAACACAGTTCTTGTTCTGATCCTTGGCACATACACTGTCAGGTTTTTGAGAAAAGTTTGTTACTACAATACTTCTAAGCTGTTTTCTCAAAGACAAAAGCATGGCTTCAAACACACTGAGCTTTGGCTCATTCAATGTGACATCACTTGTCAGATTTCCTGGTACATGGAAAGATGAAATAATCCTGCCTCTCTCATGATAAAGCCTGAAGCAAGACGAGTAAGCAGTTTGGTACATTGTGTCAGATACCATGAAAATACAAGTCTCTTCATAGTTAACCACAGATTGTTTACATAAATGCAACAGATTTTCACACTTGAGGTAAAATATTTATTTGAACAGATTATTAAATTAATTATCTAGTAGCCAAGAATTGAGTGCATGTTTAAGTCAAAACAGATTGGTTGTTTATATTTGGTATCATTTTCCTCTCAATATTCAGAAATACAGATTGTACATTTTATTAACAGGAATGGAGCTTGTGCTTGAAGATTTGAATAGGGTGGATGTATATATTTTATAAATTCAAGTTGTAAAATGTGTATAGCTGTTGCTTTTTAAATAGAATATAAATGTTAAAAGACAGATAAAACTTATCTATATATTATATATTTTTAAAAACATGTATCAAACTTTTGTTAGTTGAATATAAGTTACATTGTGTGCTTCATGGAATTCAGTAACTTGTAATAATAAAGCAGTTGTCATTGTTTTTTTTTTTTTCCTGTAGACTTGAATACTAAATTGGAGAGATATTAAACCTGTTTATAGATAATTATGTAAAAATGTATTTATATAATCCTCTTTATAAAAGACTGATTTTTTTTTTTTTTTTGGTACGTACCCCTAGCTGGAACCGAACTGGGGACTCTGGTCCGCAGGCCGATGCTCCAACCGCTGAGCCAAACTGGCCAGGGCAAAAGACTGATCTTTAAAAGATTACAGAAACAATAACATATTCATTTCCAGAATGAGGGCAACAGAGTGAAGAGAGACACTGAAGTGGCTTGTTTGTTTCTGTCACAGATCACCTTTACCTGGCAGTGTAGCCTGGTGTATCTTAGTGCTTCTTCGTGCTTTAATGAAGTCCTGGTTAAAGACTGGGCGTTTTCAGAAAAGATGGAAATAGAGACCCGGCACTTGCTTAGAATTACCAGGAGTTTGGTGGTGTTGAACTTTAAATTGTACGATTAATAAGGACATACTGTAAAGAACTTCTGGGTGCTTCCCTGAGTATACCCATCAACTAACTTAACTTAAACTATGGGCCCTGGAAGCGGGAGAGGAGAGCAGGAAGTAAGCAGAAGCAGCAGTGTGTCCGAACCAGCTGTTTCTAGCAGGAGGAAGTGCAGTGTGCTCTGCTGGGAGTCTTGAGTGTTCTTTTCACAGGGGACCTGTTGCCCCTGAAGCACCTCACTCCTTCCTGCCAGTACACTGTCTTATCTCGGCTAGCTATTTCTGCAGCCCTAAGCTGCTAGAGGAGCAAGTAGCTGGTAAGGTAAATGCAAGATCCATCTTCCTTTGTACTTGGATGCCACTCTCTTCGTTTGTTACAATCCTCAAAATACTTTCTACCTGTCATAGATCGTATGACTTCTCTCCACTAGTGTAAGCTGCTGTGGGTGAGTGGTTCTATTGAAGCCCTTCCTGTATTCTTTAGTACTTGTCACACTGACACAGAGCAAAATCAAACAGGAACTGAATTGAAGAGTCAGATGACTCAGCTAAGGGCTTTGTGTGCTTGGATAATATGGCCCAAATCCAC